CAGAGATCCGCCTGCCTCTGCCTCCGGAGTACTGGGATTAAAGGCGTGCGCCACCAACGCCCGGCCCGTTGTTTTAATTTTTTGAGACAGGGTTTCTGTGTAGCCCCAGCTGTTCTGGAACTTAGTCTGTAGACCAGGCTGGCCTTGAACTCGAGATCCACCTCCTGAATGCTGGGACTAAAGGCGTGTGTTGCCACCACCACCACTACCACCACCTGGCTACCTATACTCTTTGTAATCAGCCTGTCAACTTCTTAGACTAGCTAGTTCCAGAGGGCAGAGATCATATGCAGGAAGCTAAACACTGCTTGAAAGAAAACTCTCAACATCATGGCCTGGACCCCAAGGTAAGCCAGGTTCTTGTGTCAAACACAGTCCCAGCCAGAGGACCCCAAGGAGGAGAAAGCCTTAAAAAAGAAGGGGGAAAAAAGGGGGGGTCGGAGCCGGGCTTTGGTGGTGCATGCCTTTAATCCCAGCACACAGGAGGCAGAGGCAGGCGGATCTCTGTGAGTTCGAGACCAGCCTGGTCTACAAGAACTAGTTCCAGGACAGTCTCCAAAGCCACAGAGAAACCCTGTCTCGAAAAACCAAAAGAAAGAAAAAAAGAAAAAAGGGGGGGCATATTAGTGCATGCCTTTAATCCCAGCACTTGGGAGGCAAGTCTGCAACTACATAGTGAGTTCCAGGATAGCCAAGAGTATATAGCGAGACCTTGTCTCAAACTTTTAAAATTAAAAACAAGTGTACATAACCAGCTATTTTAAGCATCCCCAATGTGTTAAGTATTGATTGCCCATGCCCATAAGAGAGTTTAATATGTGATGGGGCTGCTCAGTGGGCAGAACACAAAGCCTGATAATGAGACACTAAGGAACTATTTCTATGAGGTTTCTAGTGGGAAGGATTCTCACCCTCTGGGCTCACTATTCATCCGTGGTGGCCTCAGAATTTCCTGTGGCAGAAACAAGTTTGGGACCTGTCAGCTGAGAAAACTCCTGTGACCAGGGCCCATTTGTTTCTCATTCAGGGACATGTGGGTGGGGGTGGCTCTCAAGGACAGTCCTATTAGTATGCCTGACCTGTAGCCTAGCATAATGACTACCAAGTGGAGTAGCCAACATTCCTGCAAACACTGTCATGGTTTCCACCAGCAACGTCTTCCATGTGTGCTGCTTTATGTTTTAGCATCTCAATTTCCTAACTTCCCCTGCTGCTAGGAGAACATACTTGTGAATCCAGATATTTGCAGTCAGTAATTCCAGGACAAACTTGCACTTTTACATATGACAGTTCAGAGGAAGATGATGGAAACAAGTAGCATGTGAGTATGGAACCCTCTGAGTCCCAAGTTTGGAAGGTTATGAGTAAGTCTTAGCAATCTGCAAGTAGAAAATTACTTTATGAATTTATATGTGGGGGAAAAAGACCTACAACAAAGCAGAGATTCAGAGGAAGAAAAACGCTAGGTATTTAAAGAGTAAGGAGTTGAATAAAAACTGGAAAATCGGACAGCTTTAAAAGCCATGTAGGATAGTGAACATTAGCCATTAGCCATAGTGAACAAGTTACTAGTTTTCATCTTTTTTTTTTTCAAAGATAGGGTTTCTCTGTGTAACATCTCCTGCTGTCCTGGATCTCACAGAGATCCTCCTGCTTCTGCCTCCCAAGTGCTGGGACTAAAGGCATTTGCCACCACACCCAGCTTAGTTTTCATCTTTAATATAAAAGTGTATTTGTGCAATATAGTTAAGACACTCATCCATAGTTCATCACCAATGAACACTTCCTATATGTCAGGTATCAACTTTTTGGGGGGCAGGTTCCAGGTATCAACTCTTAAGTGCTTGAAATTTATTTACTCCTCACCATAGCCCTGAGGGATGTGAATATTATACCCATTTAACAGATGAGGAAACTGAAGTATTGAGAAATGGTTATGACTTTCACAAGGCTAACAACTGGAATTCAATTCAGGCAGACTGGATCAAAGGTCTACCACTGAATCCTGACATTACACCCCCTCACCCCCGACAGGGTTTCTCTGTGTAGTCCTGGCTGTCCTGGAACTTGCTTTGTAGACCAGCCTGGCATTGAACTCACAGAGACCCCCTGCCTCTGCTTCCCAAGTGGTATGATTAAAGGTGTGCGTCACCACTGCCCAGCTTCTTAATTTTTCCATTTTGTCTAAATCAGCAGTTCTCAACCTGTGGGTTTCAACCCCTTTGGGTGTCGGATGACCCTTTCACAGGGGTTGCCTAAGATGATCAGAAAACAGACATCTACACCACGAGGAACTCGATTAAAGGGTTGCAGCATTAGGAAGGTGGAGAACCACTGATCTAAATGAAATGACTCTGTAAATGCTGTCTCATCCATTTTTATTAGAACTTATTGAGAGGGGAGGTTTGCAAAGTGTTGGTTTCAATGACTGACTTCCTATGAATGTCTTCACATGTACGGGACTCTGCTGTCACTAAGTGGCTCTGGGCAGTGCTACTGGTTACTTTACAAGAGTGAAGTTGCTGATGTTTGCTAAGAGCAGAGCAGCTGTGAAAGGCTCTGTGACAATCTTGACAATGTGGTTTCTCCTGCGTGTGAACCCTCTGGTGCTGACTGAGGTGAGCGCTTAAGCCGAAGGCTCTACCACACACGTCACAGGTATAAGGCTTCTCTCCACTGTGAATCCTCTCGTGTTTCTTCTGGTTTGCTCTCTGGGAAAAGGCTTTTCCACATCTGCTACATTTGTATGGCTTCTCACCGGTGTGAACTCTCCGGTGAAGGGTAAGGCAGGAGCTCTGGCTGAAGGCTTTGCCACATTCCTGACAAACATAAGGCTTTTCCCCAGTGTGAATTCTCTGGTGTCGGGTGAGCTGGGCACCCAAGATGAAGGCTTTCCCACAGTCACCACATTTAAAGGGCTTCTCCCCTGTGTGAATCTTCTGATGCTTAGAGAGGCATGAGCTCTGACGAAATGTTTTCCCACACTCACTACACTCAAAGTGCTGCTTCACAGTATGAATTCTCTGGTGCTGAATAAGGTAGTTACTCTGCTTAAAGGCTCTGTCACATTCATTACACTTAAAGGGTTTCTCTCCAGTGTGAATTAACTGATGTTTGAAAAGCTGGGCATCCTGACTAAAGGTCCTGTTGCAACTGTTACATTTAAAGGGCTGCTCACTTCCCGAAGGCTGATGCTTACTGACAGAGCTATTACGCTTGGATGTGTCAGGCTCAGTGCATTCATCTGGCTTTATACCAACTTGGATGATGCTCTGATGGCAAGGGAGCTGCAGACTCTGGTTGTAGGTTTCGACACATGGGTTACACTCAGAGGATGTGACCTTGGTGTGACTCTTCTCATGCTGCCCTACATATCTGTTGTGGTTGAAGGCTTTTCCACACTTGTTCTGACCTGAGACCTTCTGGCTTATATCTTCTCTGGTGTGGACGCTCATGTGGCAATGTAGAGTCGAGCTGCAAATGAAGTGCTCTCCACACTGCTTACACTCATACAGGGACTCAATGGTGTGAACTTTATGGTGCTGCACTAGTTGTTCTTTATGGCTGAAGGTGTTCTTGCACTTAGCACAGCCGAAGGGCTTGTCTGTGGTGTGACTCAGCTGATGTCGGATCAAATGTGAGGGGCGGCTAAAACTCCTGACACACTCTGGACACTGGTAGGGTCTGTGGCCCGAGTGGATTTGCTGATGTTCATGAAGGTGTGTGCTCCGACAGAAAGCCCTCCCACACTCGCTGCATTTGTAAGGCTTCTCCCCACTGTGAGCCCTCTGGTGGATCTTCAGGGTGGAGGAGTGGTTGAAAGCTTTACCACATTCAGTACACTTGTATGGTTTCTCTCCTGTATGAACAGCCTGGTGCTCAATGAGTGATGACCTCTGATTAAAGATCTTTTTACATTCTTGACACTCAAACACAGTTTTTACAAAATGAGTTTTTCGATGTTGGACAAAATGTTTCCTTACGTGGAAGACTTGATGGCATGTAGGACATTCATAGAGTTTCTCAGTATGGACTTTCTGGTGTCCAGCTAGATGAAAGGCCTGGCTGAATGTCTTCCCACATTTCTTACATACGTAGAACTTAGTGTTTGCAGGAGTTTTCTGGTGCTCAGTAGGCTGTGGGTGAAGAATGGATGGACTGCCATCACACTGACTCTTATGCAGTTTCTTTTGGTCACTACTATTACTATCAGGTGGTTTTGCTTGGTCCGAACTTTGAATTTTACACCATTTTGCTGAGTTAGAACCTTTACTCGGCAGCAGCTTTTTTGGCTCACCACTATGACTCTTGGACGGTTTTTCTAGGTTATCACACTGCGTTTTACACAGGCTTTCTCCAGTGTGGACTTTCTGATGCCACTGGAGGTACATATTCTGACTAAACCTTTTCCCACATTCTTGGCACACGCAGGGTTTGTAGCTTGTTTGAGTCACTGGACGCATGAGCAGGAAAGCACCCGTGCTGAGTTCTCTCTCCTTATCTTGCCTTGAAGGGGTATTATCCCTCACATGGATAATCCAGTGCTGGAGGAGGTGGTAACTCTGATTGAAGCTTTTCCCACACTCACTACACTTATATAGCTTCTCTTCTCCCTGGATAGAGTCCTTCTGGCTCTGTTCTAAGTAATAGCTGAAGTCACTCCTGGATTCCTTCACTATCACTGGTGTGAGGTTCTTTGGGAGAATATCAGACATCCCAGCATCCTCTCCTGTGGAAAAGAGAGGCCCAGGACTGAGGCTGCTCTCAAATTCATGACTCTTGCAATCTGTGGGGCTTTCCGTGTTGGTAATGTCAGACCTTGCAAGACTTTCTGGGTCTCCAAGCAAACTATCTAACCAGCTCTCACCTATATAGGCTTCAAAGTTGAGTTCCTCCTCAGACAATGTCTCCATAATCTGGGAGAGGCCTTCTTCCAAGAAGCCCTGCTGTAAAGGAGAGTTCTTGGTCTCAGTCACTTCTGAAAGAAAGAGAGAGAGAGTGTATAATTCCTTCTGTTTCCTGGGTCAGTGGGACAACCACACTGTGGGCTAAAAACAGACAGAGAAAGCTCTGGATTCCAGCCTGTCAATGGTGTCCCATCTGGAAATGGCAGAAAAAAAGAAAGAAATGGAAAGTTCAAAATGGTCATGCAGGGAGCTGACAGCCTGTAAGGATTCAGCAGAGAATGAAAGTCTTGGCCATGATCATCATAACCATGAAACCAAGTTCACTAAAACATCTTCCAGGCATGCCTCCTCCCTCTTCCTCCCTCTATACCACACAGTATCAAAATGTTACTCAACATATCCTGGGTCCTTGAAGACAGGGAAATCTTCCACACTCATCCAGTCCTCTACCCTAGAGTCATGGGCCAACTCTCTTACCCTGACTGAGGCACTGATTTCTTCCAGACCACCCAGGAAATGTCTCACCCCTCTTCTTTTCCTGTCTCTATTGTCATCAACTAAAAATGTGGCCCTAGGTTCCTTGTTGGCTAACCCTCTCTTTGTCTACCCCTCTGCATTAGCCCTGGGAGGTTGTATAATAGAGAACTGACTACCTATTCTGACCACACCCCTTCTCACTGCTCTCTCCACACTGCTGGTGTCCCCTCTCCCAACATCTTATACCATTATCACCTTTTTCCAAACCACCTATGGTTTGGTGGGCTCCCCATCCACTGAGCATCTCAGAGGCTGCTCAGTGTCTCTTGGCCTGGGCATGAACCTTACAAACTACAGCTTTCAAAGCCATCTCTTGTCTTACACTGTCGTCATGTTGCTCTCAGCCCATACTGTTGTCTTGTTTCCTCTTCACCAGATCTTTGCTCACATTGTCCCCTGTATAGAGCACATCAACCAACAAGTATCAGGCCCTCTCATGCTATGAATGAATACAAAGGTCAGTCAGTTAAGGATTCTTTGTTGTCACAACATATGTTGCAGCAGGGAAAGGCACAAATGACTGCAAAGCACAGCTATTAATATTGGAGACTTGTACATAGAGGTGTGTACATGTATGCATATGCATGTTTGGCTGTCTATGCTTGGAAATAGCCTATATTATGGATGAGCAACAACAGAACTCAGAGCTGAGGAGCATGTGCCCAGGTTGTTCACCATCAAGAGACCCCAGCAGGCGGCTGCAGAGAGCTCACATGAATGACCCCGAAGGTGGCAATAAGCAAGGGATAGGGCTGTGGACTGTTCAGATGGGTGGAGCTAGACCTGTGGTCTCTAGTTCTGAGTCTTCCTCATGGTGACAGAAGATACTGCATGAAGCCTCTGTTGCCCTGGTATAGTACTCCCTGGCCCTTTCTTTCATTGCAAACAGTTCCATTAAGCCATTACATAGTATAGGAACTGCCTGACTCTGGAAATGATAAAGCAGCTATGCCTGGCAGCATTAAACCATGAGCTTGACTTACTCCCAAATGTGGCTGTGCCTGAGCCAGGAACAAGGTAGAAGAGGTAAGCCAGAAGCCACAAGGCATGGGCTGCACAAACTGACTTGGGAATAGAAAGCATCCCCTTGTGGAGCCTTGAAGTAGAAAGGCCCTGGAGAGGCACCAGGATGCCCTGTTCTGAAGGCAAAGAAAGAGACACAACTGGCAGATCACAGTGAGGTCCCCTCTGTAACATGGACAAAGGGCAATGGGTAAATGGTTGCAGCTGGGCAGGATCTCAGTCAGAGTCAGATAGTGGGGGGTGCACTCCTCTCACTCACCAGTGCCTGTGGCTTCCAGGCCTCCTTTGATTGTAGCTTCCAGCTCTTCCCTGACATCTGGTTGGGAATTCAGGCCTGGTTTTGGGGGATCTGCAGAGAAAAAAACAATGCTGTCATCAGTGAGGATATGGAAGACATCCAGATGCTCAACAGCAACTTTCTGGCTTGAAGGTCATTCAGAACTGTGTAGGAGTCAATGTCAATGTACTTCTTACTGTGGGCTGCAGCTTGAGAACTGACAGATATTGATATGTGTGGGAGCACCCTGCAGCTGGGCTACACCTGGTCTGGCTCTAGAGTGCTAACACTTAGCCCTAATCCATCCTTTGTTTAGCAGATACCTTTTGTTTCTCTTGTTACCTTATGTGAATCTTGCCTGAGAGTCATCCAAGGATACAAAGCCTTTGCAAAACTTGGCTGCGGGGCAACCTAGAAAACCAGTACCTCCTGAATTGAGAATTTGTACTTGGTGTTGCCCCTTTGGAAGCTCCCTCAGGATGTTTTGAGGATACAAAAATCAACTTGCTATGGTATAATTGGAGAACAATAAAAGAAACCCTGGGTGAAGGGAGAGCAATTCAATCCTTAGAGGCTGGATCCACTCTGCAGCCTAGAAAGGCTGAAGTCATTCTTAAGGTGCCTCTGAGTCTTTATTTCCTCGGACCTTCGTGAACCCAACACCTGCTCCTCGACAGATGTAAGAGCTCCTAAGGTGCTTCTGTAGCTGCACACCAGATGTCCAGTGAGAACAGCTGCCCCAGAGTAATAAAAAATAAGGGAGAGGAGTCCCACTGCATGCTGTCTTTTACATTTTTTTATCTTGAGATAAAGTTCTCTGGTGTTTCCTGGAAAATGAATGGACTCATTAGAGGAAATGAAGTGAGGGTGGGCTGGTAGCAGCAGGGAGCTGGTGCTGGATGGGAAGCCATGCAGATGTGCACTGGGGTAGATGCCTTCTGCCTTCCTACCAGGAGGTGCTACACAGGAAGTGGATTTGGTAGTCTTGGCTGCTCTACAAGAGAGTCATGCTGGCACAACTGAATTGGGAATGACCCTGTATTTTACATTGAAGTCCTGCTTTCCTTCTGAGACTCAGGAGGAAGGGCCCCATGATCAAGTTCCTTCTCACTTCCTGACTTAGTAGGGTTTCTACTGCTGAGATAAAACACCATGACCAAAAGCAACTTGGAAAGAAAAGGGTTTACTTCAGTTTGTAATTCTCAGATCACACACTATCACTGTAGAGAAGTCAGGACAGGAACCTAATGTCAGGTGCTGATGCAGAAGCCTCAGAGAAATGCTGCTTACTGGCTTGCTCTCATGGCCTCATCCTGCTTTCTTATAGTACCCAGGACCAGCAGCCCAGGAGTGACACCACCAGTAATTAAGAAAATGCACCACAGGTTTGCCTGAAGGGCAACCTGGTAGGATCACTTCTCAACTGAGGGCCCTTCCCAATGACTCCATCTTGTGTCAAGTTGACAAGATACTAGCCAGCACTCTTGACATTGCTGGAGAGTCAGAGCATCCATGTGACTTCACTGAGGGTTCTGTAAGCTCACACTCTGGCAACCTGTGATGTGTCCTTTTACTATAGTGAGTTACAACTGTTGAGTCTGACCACAGGCTGAGACCTCCAAGTACTCCTAGTGAATCACTTAAGCTGGAGTGCTCTTGGGAGGACAGCTGGGGAGGACTTTTCCTCTCTGAAGTTCTGTTGCAGAGAGAGGAGTGACTAGGGAGCTGATGGGAGAGCCTGCAGACACAGCAAGCACAGGGTGGAGCTTAAGCAGAGTGACTTCTATTGCAGAGTATTTGTTTGCACTGTGTAAGATGTGTCATTGTGATTGGTTTAAGAAAGAGCTGAGGGTCAAGAGCTAGGTAGGAAAGAACAGGCAGGGCTTCTGATGAGAGAGGGACTCTGGGAAAAAGAGAGGCGGAGATACACCAGCGAACAAGTTGGACATACAGAATGGGAGAGAGGTAAAAGCCACATGGCAGAACATGGATTAAAAAAAAACAGGTTAATTTGAGTAATAAAAGCTAGTTGGGAAGAAGCCTAAGCTAAAGGCCAACCAAGCTTTCATAAGTCTCTGTGCCATTATTTGCCAGCTGGCAGCCAACAAGAAAGTCCTACTCCAGACTTCCATAGCTTACCAGTGCTTATCAGGCAACACCCAGTGAAAACAACTGATAACCAGTCCCTACACCATTAAGCTCCCATTCCAAATGACACAGAAAGTAGTTAGACTATGTTGGAGGCACAGAGAATCCAAGCTTAGTGGGGACTGTTTCCTAATGGCGCTGAGCTGTGTGTGCAAAGGGGACAGCAACCACAGGACCCTGAACCACCTGCCCAAGGGAAGACTCTGTAGTTACAAGCAGGAAAGGGAGGGGATATGCAAGATGCCTGACTGGGACCACAGCTGGCTCCTCAGGCGCAGCACTGTCAGGGCTCAGGGCAGGATAAGCCTCTGTTACAGGGTTGTGTCCTGTGCACTGTGCATTAGATGACAGCATCCTGTGAACCCCAGATCAAGATGGCACTTACTGAGCAAGAAAAAGTCCTGGCAGTTGCTCAGTGTCAAGTCCCAGAACAGGTCTCTCTTATCCAGCTCTAGCTCCAGCTCTTCCCAGTCTTCCAGGGTGAGATCCATGGCTGTATCCTTGAGGGTCACAAACTCCTGAAATGAAGCACACTGCCAGTCATTCAGACACTGCCATGAGGCCTCATCAGGCCTGACCAGGGCAAAAACCACCCTGTGGGTAAAGATGTAGAGCCTTGGACAAGGGATAGAATGTCAAGTCACACAGGGAGAATGAAACCCACATCTGCTGACCTTGAAATCCATCTACTTCTTAGTTTAAGATTTTGTTGTTTTCGAGATTTGAGACAGGGTTTCTCTGTATAGCCTTGTCCCTGTCTCAAATAACTCAAAATAAAAACTACAGATCTGGAGCTAACAGATAGCTCAGTGATTGAGAACATTTACTGGTCTTGAAGAGGAGCCATGTTTGGGTCCCAGCACCCACACAGTAGCTCACAACTGTCAGGGTCAGAGCCCTTTGATCTGTGGACATCAGCTACACATACATACACGCAGACAAAATAGAGAAAATGGAAATTAACCCTCAAAATTTATATAGAGCAGTGCTTCTTCAACATGTGGGTTGTGACCTCTCTGGAGGGTCAATGCTTTCACAGGGATGGCTTAAGACCATCAGGAAACAGATATTTACAATTCACAACAGTATCAAAATTACAGTTATGAAGTAACAAAAATAATTTTATGCTTGGGGGGTCACCACAACATGAACTGTATTAAAGGGCCTCAGTGTTAGGGAGAACCACTGCTAGACGTTTTTATAGAAGGCCTAGGTACCACATGCAGCACACGTGGCCAAACAGGCATCCATCTGACTGTACTCTGCTCTTCCATGCTTTCTAAATTGCTTTTCTATTGCTGTGATAAAACACCATTACCAATATAACTTACAAAAGAAAACATTTACTTGGGTCTGCAGTCCCAAAGGATTAAGGGCCATGATGGTGGAGCAGCAACAGCTGAGAGCTCATGTCTCAAACCCCAAGCAGGAGGCAGATAGCACACTGAGGATAGTGGGAAGTTTTTTAATCTCAAAGCCTGCCCTGATACACCTTCTTTAATAGGGTCACACCTGCCAATCCTTTCCAAATAGTTCCACTAACCTGAGAACATGTATTCAAACATGTGTCTGTAGGGAGCATTCTCTTTCAAACCATCACACTAACTACCTATATTTTGTATGTGACACTTCTTTCCTTTGGTGCCATCTGGCTGTCCCTCTGCCCCAGGTGGTTCCCGTAAACCAGGAGACTTAAGCAGAAAGTCTGAAATCAAGGCCATCTTGAACTACATTGTGAGATCCTATCTTAAGGCATCTCTCCCTCCAAAGCTTATTTGGGAATCCCAGAGTGCTGCTTTTCCTTTGGGAGTGGTTCAGTTCAGACAAAGGGACTTCAACTTACCTCAGCCACAGTGGCCTCCTTCCAGTGACCTCTTTTAAGCTCCTCCTCCTTCCCCTCCATGTTCCCAGCTAGCCGAGCTGCAGAGGAGCTGAGAGAAAGTCTCCCATCTTTCTATGGCTGATATCCTGTTCATGCTGGATGAGTCTCCAAAATATCACAAGTAGTAGGACAAGTCCCAAAATGAACCTGCTGCAGGGACTGCCATGACAATTGTATTAACTGAAACTACACCACCCCTAAATTTCCATCAAGCGTCAGAACCTGCAGAACAAATCCACAACCATTCCTAACACTTACTGAAGATATATTTTGGGATCTGGCAAGGAAGCTCTCCTTGGAATCCTTCCATCCTGCTCACTGTCCTGTCAGAAGCATCAGTTTTTAAAATATTTGTTGAAAGCTGGGCATGGTAGTGCATGCCAGCCCTACTCTAGGGAGGCTGAGGTGGGAGAATTTTTAGTTTAAGATCAGCCAGGGATACATATCAAGACTGTTTAAAAAAAAAAAAAAAGGTGGCTGGGCATTGGTGGCACACACCTTTAATCCCAGCACTTTCGAAGCTGAGGCAGGCAGATCTCTGTTGAGTTCGAGGCCAGACTAGTCTACAAATCAAGTTTCAAGACAGCCAGGACAGTTACACAGAGAAACACTGTCTCAAAAACTAAAAACCAAAAAGTGGGTTGAACATTGTAGCACACACCTTTAATTCCAGCACTTGACAAATAGAAGCAGATCTCTCTGAGTTCAAGATCAGCTTGGAATGATGGCTTATTGGTTAAGAGTACCGTTGCTCTTCCAGAGGACTGAGATTTGACTCCCAGCACCCATGGGGATATCAGATGCCTTCTTCTGGCCTTTGTAGACATTACACACACATGTGGTGTACAGACATGCATGCAGGCAAAACACACTTAACACAGAAAACAATCTCAAAAACAAAAACTAAAAAGGTGAAAAATCGTAGGCAAAAACAGTTTCTAGCTGAATGAGTGGGAACAATGCTGGTGGATTTCTAATTATATTCTGTAGAATTTGAGGCAGGTAAATTAATCCTCCCACTCTATGTGGACAATTGCCATTTCTAGGATACCAATATTTTGGCAACTTTTTTTTTAAGCCATGACAATATATATTTGAGCCATAATATCAAAGACAATATATATTAATATATATTATATATTATATATATTATATATATAATATATATATATATATGTTCTACATTCACAGATCCAATCAGACGCAGAAGAAAATAATTTGAAAAAAATTCTGGATGTTTCCAGCATATACAGATGTTATTATTCTTTAGCATAGTGTAACAATTATTCTCATAGCATTTACACTGTATAGAGCCTGCATGGGTTACATACACTATACTAGACTGGTTATGATGAAAAGGTTGAGGCAGAATGAACAGTTTGGTAGGCACACTGTATACATGTTTGAGTCGCTCAAAGAATAGACACAAAGTATTCCTTATTTTTATGCCTGTTTATGCCTGCATGGCATAAACATGTTTATGTGTGCACATTTGGTGCCTTCGGTGGCCAGAAGAGGGCGACTGATACCTTAAAACTGGAGCTACAGATGTCTGTGAGCCACTATGTTGGTGCTGGGAACTCAACCTAGGTCTTTTGAAAGAGCGGCAGCAAGTAGTCTTTACCTCTTTCTGTGTTTGCTTTAAGGAATACTTTGTATGTTGTTTAAAGGATACTGGGTTAAGAGCAACTGCTGACCTTCAGGAAAGCAGGGGTTCAGCTCCCAGAACCCACACACAGTGTCGGGGGATCCGACGCCCTCCCTGGCTTCCATGGTTCCCGCACGCAGGTGGTTCACGGACACTCAGACACACATGAATACATATAAAATAAACCTTATCAAACAGGACTGGCCCAAGAGGAAACGCCGCGAGAAGGCGCGGCTTACATCAGGCTGCGAGCAAGCAAGGGATGAGCAAGGGCCTCCCGCGCCCGCTCCCGCCGCTGAGGACTAAGCCCGCGGGCGCCAGGGCCGCAGAGGCCGCACCGTACCTCGGCGTGGCCGACGGCACAGTGAAGTCGCTTTCCAGATCCCAGGAAACCCAACGCCTCAAGAAACTTCCGGTTCCGGTAGACAGGATTCAGAGGAATTTCCGGTACCAGGTATCTTGGCGCTAGCCTCCAGGACCCGTCGCCTTCCGGACTCCTCCAGCTGAGCGCGCTGAGAAGTACAGCGGGGACTATGTGGCATAGAGGCCGGGCAGACCAGACCCTGTCAGAAGGCTACTTTCACTGATTGCCGCATTGAAATTTCCTTTACGAGACCACAACGAGTTGCCATGGAAACAGCTTGGGGCGGGGCTGAGATCCAGAGCGACGGAGAAGCAAGGGGAGGAGTTTAGAAATAATAGTGCAACCTTTGATTGGTGGCTATCTCGTACTTCATCGTGATTGGCTTGAGATTAGCACGTGCGCAGTAGGAGGGAAAGTCCACTAGGACAGAATTGGGGAATAATCCCTCTTCCGGTTCTTTCTAGTTGCCCAGGCGGCACGCTCGGGCTTCTGGGAAATGGAGTTTCTAGCTGCGAATAGGGCGGGACTTGGGGGGGGCGAGAAGGGAAGTTGGCAGCGCCTGCGCGCCCTTCAGGGCCAGTGGAGGATGCGCGCGCAGCACGTTCTTCCCCCGGAAGTTTTTGCTGGGCAACTGAAAAGGTGAGTCCAAGTTACCGCTCCGGATCAGAGCGAGAGTCCGGGCCATGGGAAGCCCCGGAGTCCTCGCCTTTTTCTGAAGTACCGTGGTGAGGGGCTGCTCGGTCGGGGAGCCTGTGACATCACCCGGGAGGTGGAGGCCGACCGAGGCTGGGGTTCCGGGAGCGGAGCCCCCTACACACACTATGTCGCCCGTGGGGCGGGGCTTGCAGCTACGTTGGGTGGAGCCTGTGAGGAATGGCAGATGCCCCGCCTCCGTGGTCATCGATGGTTTCTTTTTGATTGTGGGGCCCAAGCCTAGGCAACTCTTGTGGAAGAGTCTAGCCTTTGGTCCTCTGGTATGCTGCGTTCTAGGAACAGGAGCATAGTCGATGATACCAAGATGATGTTAATAGGTAGAATAGGTTAAATGAATGGATGCATGATACTCAAGACAGACTTAGTATCATAGCCTGAATCACTGGCTGTGCAGTCTTTGACAGGGGACCTCAGCACTCTTGAGACCCCTTAGTTGCTTCCACCCACACTTATTGAGCACATTATGTAAAAATCTGTGTTTATGTATTTTGCACATGAACTGTCCCCTCCCTTAGGGGTAGCTCTGAACTTTAATAGTGGTGATATCTAAAAATGGCTCAGACCTAGAATCCTACCAATTTGGAGGTCAAGTCAAGAAAATTTTGGAGATTAGTGAGTTCCAGGACAGCCCAACATGGTACTACAGAATGACACCCTGTCTCAGTAAATAAAACTGAATATGGTGGTATGTGCTAATAAGCTGAGCAGTTCAGGAGGTAAAGACAGGAGGATCAAAAGTTCAAGGTCAGCCTGGGATATTTTTCAAACCTTGCCTAAAGGCTGAAGAGTTGGCTCAATGTTTGAAGACCCAAACTGGTTTCCAGTTCGCAACTGCCTGTAACTCCAGTTCCAGAGGATCAATGCATGTGACTTCAGAGATACTTGCACTCATATGCACATACCCACATGAAGACACACATACACAAAATTTAAAGTCATAAAGATAAATATTCCTAAGTCCTGCATATCTAGTTTGCATTCTAAAGATGATTGGAATGCCACACAGAAAATTAAGCTAATTGTACGGTATGCCTCCATGGTACCTTATCTACATGTCTGCATCCAAAATCTGGAAAATGAAAGGCTTTCTCTGCTTGCAGTTCACATGGTGGCCTATGCTGACCTGTCTGAACTTGTTTGCTGACAGCTCACCGACAGAACTGTGTGGCTGTTTATCATCAGAGATGATGCTCCACGCTCCACTAGTCTTAGGCTTTGTGTGTCTATATGCCATGGATTTGCAGGTTCCCAGATAGACCAGAAGAGAGTGTGAGATACCTTGGAGCTGGAGTTGAAGTTAAAGGTGATTGTGAGCCATCCATCAGACTTGTGTGATGGAGACTTTTTTTAAGATTTTATTTATTTATTATGTATAAAACATTCTGCTTCCATGTATAACTGCACACTAGACGAGGGCACCAGATCTCATAACGGATGGTTGTGAGCCACCATGTGGTTGCTGGGAATTGAATTCGGGACCCCTGGAAATTGAATTCGGGCCCTCTGGAAGAGCAGTCAGTGCTCTTAACCTCTGAGCCATCTCTCCAGTCCCGTGTTGTATTTGTTTATGTTGCATTTGTTTAAATATGTAAAGATGTGTTGCTGTTTTTCTTTGCCTACCTGAGTGGTCTAATAAAAAGATGAACAGCCAATAGGAAGAGAGGTATAGATGGGACTTAGTAGGAAGAGAAATTTAGGCTTGGGAGAAGAAAGAAAAAGAGACACTAGGGAAATGCCAGGGGTCAGACAGACAGACATAGAGGAACCAGGAAAGTAGGACATACAGATAAAAGAAAGGTTAAAAAGGCCCAAGACAAAATGTAGATGACAAGGAGCAGGTTAAACTAAGTTAAAAGAGCTTGTGGGACAAGCCTAAGCTAAGGCTGAACATTCATAATAATAAATCTCCATGTCTTTATTCGGGAGCTGGTTGGCAGCCGAGAGAAAATTCCAACTACAGAGACTGAAATTGGGTCCTATGGAAGAATAGTGTGAATTCTGAATATCTAAGACATCTAGCCTGCCCTCAAAACTAACTTTAAATGGATCCCTGTGACCGCTGTTGTGATAGTAAACCACAGTGACAAGGTGTCAAATCTGATGTTCATTCTAATTAGGATGTGACTGCAATAGAAGCAGGAGAGATGACAGCATAGGCCGGTGACAGGTGGAAGAGCCAGAGGATATTCACTTAAAGCCCTGGCATTGCCTGCTCAGTCCAATGCTGAGCATGAGCTCCTGCATGGGAGCCTCTGAGCGGAAGCTAAGAACCCAGTCCATTTCCTCACATTGACTTTATAAATGGGTGCCAGGTTATATGCTGGTGAAGGTGTGCATATGAGAGCTAGCCAGTGGGAAGTGAAAACAGGAGTACAAGGCTGGCCTGGGCTACACGTGATCCTGTCTCAAAACTAAAACAAGATTTAAAGGATGAATGATTGGCCATTCAAGTAGCACTTGCTGTGACTGTTTGACCAGTGCCCAGTAAAAGTTAGCCAGTACTTTTCACTTTCGAAGTGAGCCTCAGTTAGTATCTTCCTTTTTGTTCATTTCCAGGCTGTTGTCAAGATGGAGTTTCCAACTCAGTAATCCAAGGACCAGACCCTGAGTTCATAAAGGTACCCTTGCCTCTGAGACCCATTTCCCACGAGGAGCCAGCCCACCCATGCTGTCTCCTCTCTATGGCTTCAGGTGGATCTTTCTACCTTGTGAGCCACGGTGTGGAAAGGCTTACCCAGTGAGGCGGTTGCTCCTTCCAAGAGGCCATCTCTTCCCCAATGACGGCTAAGGAAAATAGGCTTAACATGGAATTACCAAAGACACCAGCAAAACGAGGTGTGCTGGTGAATACCTGGTATCCAAGCGATAAGGAAATGGATGGAGGTTATGCCTCAGATGTCATGGTGTGGGTGTGGGTTCATGCAGGTCTGCTGAAAGAAAACTCAGAGACACTTTAAGAGTGAATATAGTGTTTGTGGCTGCAGGGGCCCCAGCCTGGAAGGACTGAAGTGCTTTCCCTACTCCCAGGGCATTTTTTATTTTTCTCAGTATTTACACTTAAGCCAGTTGATTACCATATGTTCAGAACAACTTGAATGAGGCCTCCAAAAACACAATGCCAAGTGCAAAGTCTCAATTCATCAGTTACCACAGTTTTAGTTTTCTGTGTTTCCTAAACCATGTTTTGCATAGGCTTTGTGTTCTTGGGAAAGTCCCAAACAAAGTTCACACAGTAGGACAAAGGATGGATTAGGCTGGGGCTAACTCTCCAGAGCGAGGCCAGTGCTATCAATCTGGCACCAGCCCCAGCAGAATTCTGCTACAGATCCCCCTCTTTTTATAAAAATCAATTATTTTGAATGTTATGCAGCCTCATCGTATGTACAGCTTTTTTTCTGTCTTACAATCCTATATAAGTAGGCCAAAACACATTTTAAAGTTAGTAAAGCTACTATTGCTAAGACAAGAGCAACACCCGCTAGAATAAGAAATCTATTAAAGTAATTCATGGGGTTGAATGATGCTGTGGTATCAGCAAGACTTTCCATAACATCCATTCCTGTCGTATCAGGCAACTTGTTTGCAAACGTTTCTTTAATTTCTTTTGTAAATCATAAATCATTTGAGAAGAATTAGGGTGACCCATCAAATGCACCTTAACCATATCCCAATCACATTTGCTTTCATTAAATCTTAGGGGTGTGATGCAATAAGAAGAGACACTCCAACCACATTTTCATTTTATCTGCTCCTTCAAAATTTTGAACTGATCCCCTGACAATATAACAGCCTGCCTTAACTCAGCTAATTCATTCATGATCTCATTATCAATCTTATTTTGTTCAGTCCAAAGTTCTTTTGAATGTTTATGCCAGTCCCTAACGAACTCAGCAGTTTTAATTTCTTTATGAAATGCCAATCCATAAATGCTGTAGCCATAAATGCAAAAATTCCCAAGATAACTGCAATAACAGCCCAACCATTGACCCATTTGACATGTCCTTTTTAGTATTCTTTCGGTGAGCTTCTGTACCAGGGTCATCATAGGAGAGTCTCACCATGGCCTCGACAACCTCACTGGTATCCAGATTGCTGGCCTTGCTCTAAGAATACATAAACTTTCAAAGGTTAAAATTGAAATAATACTAGAATTAACACAGGTATGAAGGGTACAGCATTCATAAGTGATGCTGTATTATTAGGATGCCACTGCATAGGCCCCTTTAGTAGCAAATAAGGAAGTGGCACACATGCCATAAAAGCATGGCTTTAATTTAGTCTAAAAGACAAAGTATGTTTATCATCCTCAATGCTTAATTTTCCTCCCACGCCTTAAGAGGGTGGAAGGCACTTGCCGATTTCCACAAGTTAGTCTGAATTCAATTGCCAGGTTGCAGGAGAGGACTTGCCATTCTAACTCCGTGCCACTGGATAGGTTCATTAACAGAAGCCCTGATTTCCACAGTAAACTATACCGTTTCC